CCCCAAAACCCCAAAACCCCAAAACCCCAAAACCCCAAAACCCCAAAACCCCAAAACCCCGAAATTATGAAGATAGATTGAAATTTTATAAAAATATTCAACTTAAGAAGATGAGCATGCCTTATTCAAGATGATTTGCAGCAGCAAAGAGGAAAAGAGAGTTAAAATGAAGTACAAGTCCAGGATTGTTCTTTCCAGAATCTACACAGGTATTAATTGGTCATCTGCATTTTGTCTGTGGTTTAGGTATCGAGTATTCAATAAAATGTACTCTAGTGAACCTTTAACAAATTATATGTTTCCTAATGAATTTAACTTTTGTAAATGAAAACCAACTTAAACTTTATGGACTCTATCATTGTTTATGGTATACTTGGCAATAATTACTTGCTGAAAAGATTGTAATATGATAACTCCACTATAGCCTAAAGACAACTCAATCACCCTAAAAGTAGAGCCAGAAAAGGAGACCTTATCTGTGACCCGGATTAACCAGATAAGATTTATTAAGAAGGTATTTAGTCTCTCTCCTACTTTCTTACTTTAATTTAGCCATTTAAAATAGCCAAACGAAAGAGCTCGACTAAATATAACAAGACTAACTTTGACAAATACATGCTCAGGATGCAAAATAGCACTAATCTAAAGGTACCCAATCTCCCCTATCCACTCACCAACCCTCCTACTTTAGGACAACTTTGCCAACGCTCAAAAGATAGGTGCCAAGCTCCAATCCGAACTAAACAAGTCCAAAAAGGGTCGAAAGCTACATCTCGGGTAACCCATCTCCCAAGTTCCTCTAAACCCCTAAAATTTCCACTAAAGTCTCTTTTTCACCTCTAAAGCCCCGTTTAGGATTCCTAAACCGCTCATGCGTGAAACTCCGACTGGGCAGCTTGCTCCAGCTATTTCGAGTATTTTTGGGCTTAAAGTTTAGCTCCGAACCAGAACTCGTGCTTGGACTCTCAGATTATGAGTAAGAGAGGATTTGAAGGTTGTGAAGTAAAATTTTTAGATTCTAGCAACATCACAAATCTTTAAAATCCGTTCGACTCCAGTACACTCAAGCGCTTTAAGCCATTCAAGCTCAAAGTATCCCATCTGCTAATCTGTAGATAATAAAATGATGAACAGGTCCTACACAAGGATGCATAACAGGGATTATGGAAGTGTGGGGCCCTCAGCCAGGCCTAAGAGCTCGCTCAAAGCGTTCAATGAGAAAGTCCTGATCGATATGTCCATGGTCGTAACCTAAAATTTGTGAGTTTTAGAGAAAAGCCCAGAGCAATAAGTTCAATTTCAGCTTTTCAAAGTCTAAAATTGAGAAACAAATGGAGAAGGAACTTGAGAAATGAGGAGCTTTTAAGCACAAAATGATCCTTGTCGGCAAGGTGAGGAAGGGTCTTATTTTGTAGACTAAGAAAATTGAGACTAGTGATAAGAACGAGAATGAGAAAAGACTGTAAGTTTGATCTTATATTTGATTAGAACTAAGCGGAATTTTTATTCAAATCTTTATAAACGTGATGTCAAGTCTCAGTCAAAAGCTGCTAATCGAAGGATGATTTCGACGAAATAACAAGGATTTGGTGGAAGTGTTCGCAAATGATGATTTTGTGACTCCTGTATCTCAAAACACATTCTTGAATAAATTCTCAAAGGCTCCTGAATCAGTAGAGTGCCTAGATTTTGCAACAGGATGAGTGCCTAATCTGCCAACAAGAGCGATTAAAAGTATCTGGAATTAACAATATAATTATATGGTTCAACTATGGATTCATATTTAGGGGTTTTGGGGTTTTGGGGTTTTGGGGTTTTGGGG